TTTTTTGCACATTGCAATCACTAAAAAAGGCAAAAGCAAGCGGGCTTGTGTTGAAGACGGGCCAAATGACTCACAAGGTGAAGTATCACAAACCCACCCATTGGAGGCCCAGCAGATCAAAGATCTCATGCAGCCTAACCAGCAGGTTCTCAAGATGGACGTGAAGTGACTGAAGCCATACAATACAAGAGCCTCAGAGTACAGTGTAAAATAGATGAGATGAAGAAAGGGGAGCAGGTTGAGATTGCCAGGTTGCAAATGGAACAGGACATAAGGATGGAGGAGTTGTGGCAACAAGGACACAAGGTTGAGTGAGGTTGAAGCCACTATCAACATGGAGTTAAAGAGACTCCATATAATGCTACAAATGGGCATCATTGGGCCAGGTGTTAATGTGTCATTAAACCAGCAGCAGTTTGGGTCCACCCACAATATTCAGGTTTCCACTTCCACCATATTAACATCTCTGCCACCCACACAAGACATGACTGGGGCTGCAGCTGCACCATTGTTGCCTCCACCTGGTCTGATGAACATGCAGAGTCTTCTACACACTCTGTCTCCTCCCGCTGACAACAACTTTGGCAATATGTCTTACAACAACAACACCAATATGCCTGGCCAATACACATCTTACAATGAGAATTATACACCTGGCCAACATGCATCTACTCCATACCACCACCACCATCATGCACCTGGCCAGATTACCTCTCACATTACTATTGAAGAAGACAATACTGGTGATATTCATTACAATATGTAGTTGTTCTGGTACTGTCTGCATGTATGTGTTATGATAGACACTTACAGCACCAATCTTAGTGCACCCTTTACTTTTACTTTTACTATACTTTTACAACCAACACTGTAGTCAACAATTTTGAGGTTATGTGGGAGAATAACAAGCTGGTAATTACATTGAGGTTAGCCTTCAGATACTTGTGTTTCAATCTGATAAACTTTCCTGTGTATACAAAGAATAGTTAGATTTCCTGTCGTAGAAGGTTTTCCCATAATGGCTAGGTTTCTGGAAAAGATTGAAAATTTGTTCCATCTACTAAGAAACACCTATTTTGCCAAACTGGACAGACTTGTCTCCTGACCCAAAGTTTAGCTGCTTTTTTATCATCTTGAGTAGGTGCCTTGATGACATTATCATAAAGGGACACCACACTGTGGTGGCAGCAATTATGCTTGGCTTTATACACCTCATCCCAGCATTTTCTGAGGGGCAAACAACTCGTCTGTTATGAGAAGGCCCTTCTGCTTGCTGGGCATGTGGGGAAGCGGATGATTGGGAAAGTTTCTACATTAATATGTGAGTATTCCACTATCTTCCATGCTTAATTGACTTACAAAATACAGTTTTGCTGACAGGAATCTATTCATGAGGCACATTGGTGGGGGAATTGGGCATATCAGGCAGCATATGAAGGAATTGTAAAACCCTTATCCCCTTTACCGAACTAACGGAGGGACGAAGGCTCAAATCAAACAAGTAGCGTTACAAGATAGCGATTGAGAATTAATCAACAACTGAGGAAAGTATGTACATGGTGGTCTACTATATATATGTTTCTGAAAGTCAGCCATGAGGTGCTGACTGATATAACATGCAGCAGCCATGAGGCGCTGACTGATGTTCTTTGTAATGGTTCTAGACTTCTGTCACGTGATGGTCACGTGATCTGATATAACTACGTATTATGTTATCCGCGCTAAAGCAGCAGCTTAACATATCTTATCTGTCATGTGATCAGGTATCAGAGAAAAATGAAAAAGGAAACTAGCGCTCAGACTAGCGCTTCTGGTTCAAGTCGTGACAGGAATTGTATACCAACTCAGAAGATTCAGACTCAGAAGATGAAGTTGACAAGGACTCCAAAAACAGTGACACCGAGGGCGAGAGCGAAGATGAAGATGAGGATGAAGAGGTGGACAAAGAGGTGGACAAAACCCAGGATAGTGGTAGCAACCTGGGTCCAGACGATGGTGAAAATAGTGGGTTTGATGATGAAGGGTCTTTCTAGTAACTTGTACCAATATTAGCCTGTTGGCACTACAGCCTGAGAACCCTGTGTAACTGGAAAAAATTGACATGCATAATGTGTACTCATAAATACACTGATCTGATGCAAGACATGTTTTTTGGCTTCAGAGCCTGATATGAAATACCAGTGAGATCTGACAAAAAATTTACTGTGACATTCATTCAACTTTGTGTTTACCGACTAAAGCAAATGAACACAAGTGTCAATGGTTACATACACATAGTAAGGACAAGCTTCAAGGAAATTCATACAACACCCGGACACTGTCCAAGGTATTAGCCATGGTTTCAAGTTACATGCATAACTCAACTGCACCCACTGAAATTCCAGCCCAGTTGGCTATATCTGTTGTTAAGGCTTGGTTGCCATAATAACCTTATCTGCTCGAAAAAACAGCCAATTGAATTTCAACAGGTATTTGATCATTATTAGAGTTGTTGTAGTAAATAGGGTGGTGGTGAACATGTTCAAGAATCATGTCAAAAGTTGTGGGACTAACCTGTATTAAGTGCCGGAAATGTGCCTGGTTATAGCACCCCAACCATATTTGTAGATTAAACTGAGGTTTACATGGCACCAAAGGGTATGTGATGAAAACACGTGTTTCCCTAGTCCATCAACATAAATGGAAGTATTTGGTTAGTGCAATTTCAACATTGCTGATCTTGGCATTGCCAATACAGTTTATTTCCTAATAAAATAGAAACCATGGACACATGCTCTAAGTCATCTAAAGTCCCTGCTCACTGCACTGACACTCTCATTGGAGATGTTAAATCTGTCTTCCTCATCCTCATTGTCACCACTGACAGTGATTGCACGTTGATGGCTGATAAGTCAATGCAAGGCAGCTGTGAACACTTTATCAAGTCTCTGGTGTTTCTGGTTGGTTTTGAGTGCTAGCAGGCATGTGTATTGGTGGGGGACTGTCTGATAGCAAATCTAGGGTTTTGTTGCTTGCTGCTTATATATTGAGTAGTTAGGGTTCCAATGATTTTATTTCTGATAGTTAAAATAAACATTTGCTGATTTACTTCTGAGCAATGTTTTCAGAAATCCTGTAGGACTTGTGTATGCCTCTCCCAAAAACTTTGTGTAACTTTGTGTAGACTCTGAACACAGCTAGTGTTTTGAAGAAAGGAGCATATCATAAAAACTGGTCAGATATCTGTTAGCCAGAGCATGTTTCATTTGGAAAAATGGTTGGTATCAGAGGATATGTGTTCAATTCAACAAAAGTTAGTATTGAGAAATGGTACTTGAGCACTATATGTAGCAGTAATAGGGAGTCTAAAGTCAAACAAACATAGCTAGGATTAATGAGTCCCATATATATGAATTCTGGACACAAACTATACCTGAAGGTAGATTTGTGATGTGGTGGTTAGATATGGTGGGGGCATTCATAGCATTTATGCCAATGCAGATGGTGGCTAACAATAAACACAGCTTGTATTAGTGTCACATAAGATAACTGTGTGAAAAAAAACATACATTAAGCTAGTAAAATACTCATTGAGTGTTGTACTAGCTTGACTTTGTTGCAAAAGATAGAGAAAATACAAGTGACGCTGTAAGGAATCAATTTTTCTATTGCATTCCAGCCATGTGATGGCTATCCAACCCACTCCCTGTTACTCCTCTTGCTATTGGGCTAGAAGTTACAGCTAGTACTTTTTTACTTCTATCTTTCTTTTTCTCATCTTCCTTTCACATTCGTGTTCTATCATACTTACAATGTAGGAGACTACTCTCCCATCCCCAAGAAAATATCACAATGGCATAACTCTGATCAAGAGCTGTGCTCAGGAATACATGGGTGAGAGATTTATCAGCAATACAGACTATGATTCAGTGCCTTCCCATGGGGTCACTAATCCAGCCAATTGTACATCCCTTACCAGAAATTATTCTCACGTTATTAGTAATTCTGATAGATCACACCACTTCTTCTCTTTTTACTATCGGCTAGTCGTTTGGTTGGACCATTTTCTTATTCTTTCTCTTTTCTATCCAACCTTTACTTTTCATTATATAAGGAGTAGATACTTGATGTATTATTCCTTAGTTCAATATTAGTTTGGATTTGCATTTATACCAGTACTCTGATCCACTGCCTTCTACAATCTCAGAACATGTGTCCCTCTTAACTGCAATTGTAGCAATTCCCTTTGAATCTGCACATCTATTTGCCCTAGATGTGTTAATATCCATAGGCATAGGGGCCCCCTGCCCTAGTTGCAGCCCAAATGGCTTGAACCTGTGAGAATGATTCTGATTTTATGGTGATGACCCTGTAACAACCAAGAGTTATTTACTCTGGTGCACACAGGAACACACTATAAAGAAGATGATGGGGAGTGGTTACCCCTTAGGCTGCAGTGAGTTAGTTGTGCTAGACAACAGGAGGACTCACTGAGTCCTTCCCCATGTATTGCTCTTGTATATATACTAAAATACATGAGGTACTGTACAGTTGTAAATAAAGTTCAAAGTCCAATGTCTAGCATGTGACCAGTCACATGATGAGTCTAGACACTGGTCAGGTGATGTGTCACATGACTGTTCATGTGACTATGAAAAGTCGAAAATGTAAAGTAAAGTAAATGGTCACATAACTGATCATGTGACTTGGAAAATAAAAGTAGAAGTACAAAAGTGAAGCGTAAGTAGGTGCTGGTATGTTAATTGTAACACCTATAATCTGTCCAACCAATCCAGTACTTAGAGACCAAAACAACGTGGAGTTGTTGCGGTTTTATTAGTTACAATTGTTACCTACATTTCAAACTTTTGCATTCCTCTGACCAGGCCGTGCATTCGCATCCGCCAGTTGGTATAATAACTGACAGTTTAATAAGCGGGTTGATCTGAGACAACTGTTCAGACCTCAGACTTTACTATAGTTTTTTAGCTACCTTTTATTAGAACAGTTTACATACACAGTAGTAGGGAACGGAAGAGGATCCCTTTACCTGAAAAGAGAAGACAGAAAAAGGAAACTACAAAATTGATGTGTTGATCCAGACTTGTCATCTGGGGAACCGTATTTGTATGCCCTTTGTTGAAGAACCAAGAAGCATCTGGTCGTTCCTTGATCCCACTCCCAAACCCAAACAGAAAACACCAGAACCACACCTCTATTCCCCCCACAACAAATCCTATCCTACCACACCCCAATCGACCAATATGTCATTCGAAGCATGGAGGGAGACGAATCCAGAAATCCTACCCCCGTCAACACCAGGGATGGGAATGCACGAATTAGGAGAGGCCCTACCGCCTACTCCGCAAAGAGAACGATCGCCCTCGCCAGAGTTGAGGCGCATGCAGAATCTAGAGATGATGGTCCGAATGGCCATAACAGCCACAATCCAGGACAACAATGCAGAATGGGAAAGACGATTCCTGCAAAGAGATGCAGAAGTTGCAGGCTTGCAGAGAAGGCTCACAATGCAACTGCAGCAGCAGCAGCAGCAACAGATGGGCCGGCCTACCGAACACAAAGCCAGCTACAGAAAAACTGCATTGGCCAAGCCTGAGCCATATGAGGGCAACAAAAAGAAGTTCCGGAACTTCTTTGAATCACTACAGCTTCATTTTGGAGCAAACCCAGAATACTTCTGGATAGAGGTCAATAAAATCAATTTTTCCCTATCCTATATGACAAGTGGAGAGGCGGCAGCACTTAGAACAGAATGGGTGGAAAGAAAGATGCTGGCAGACGAAAGGACAGACATCGAAGAAATGGAACAATTGGAAAGCTGGGCTCATTTCGAGTCCATGCTAAAGGACCATTTCCAAGATGCATTTGAAGAGGAAAGAAGCAAGTACAAAATCATGTACTTAAAACAAGGTACTCTCACTGCGCAAGAATACTTTGTAAAATTCAAAGCAACCAGACAACGCGCAGGATACAATGTGAAAGGGAATGAACAATTCCTGATCACATTGATCAGAAACAATATCAATGCTCCATTGATTAAACAAATCATCTACTCGGGAAACATCCCAAAAACATACACAGAATGGAAAATGAGGATCATCACCAATGATCAATTATGGTGAGATCAAGCAGAGAACGAGCGGATGATGAAGGGTATGGCCAGCGGCAGCTCTGGTTCTGGAAACCGGGGACCCAATGGTTGGTACCGAGGAGAGGGCACTTCGGAGAAGAAGGCCGAGACAATGGAAGATAAGAAAGATGGGACTGGAACCACCTATAGTGGAGCCGGTCAAAGAATGGAAGTTGATAAAGCGAAGTACCGAGCAGAAGGCAGGTGCTTCAAATGTGGAGAAAAGGGGCACAGAGCCCAAGACCATAAAGAAGGAGGCAGCGCAGCTGCAAAGCCAAAGTTCAACCTTCGAGCTATGTTAGAAGGAATAACGAAAGAAGAGCGGGACGAACTGCTCCAGGATTTTTAAAGAGGCCGGCTGTGACTCCTCGTCAGACCGAGCCAAAAAACATTGCAAATGTAAATAGATATGCTTCTCTCTCTGTTGACAATCTTGATGCATGTAACACCGATGAAAATGAAATTGCATTATTTAAAAATGCACAAAATCTGAAACAGAAAGAGCAATCTAAAGAGGAGAGCCTGAAAGGGAAATGGGCTGAAGAGATTCCCAAAACAGAAACAACTAAGGTACAGAATGAAGCGACTCAATTGGGTAGCGCTTCTGACACTGATACCTTGACACGTTCTGAAGAGGTCAGGCACACCTTTGATAAAAACCTAGAAGCGGCGCGCAAGGTACCTAAAGGGGATAGGACCATGAAAAGCGCAGCAAAGAAGGAGACAACTGAATTACAGAAGGCGGTGACTCAATTGGGTAGCACCAATAATACTGATACTTCAATCAGCTCCAAAGAGGTCAGGCACACCTCTGATAAAAACCTAGAAAAGAAAGTACCATGGACGGCTGCATGGATAGCGGAAAGGCTGAGAGACCAAAAGGAAGAAAGATCTATTGGTATCTTAAATAGCTGGACCCATAAAAAACAAGGAAAAGAAGTAACTGCAGAGTTAATCAAAGAATTAAACGCTTTACCAATCCACAAAACGGTATTAGCATTGGAAGAATTGAGAAAGCCTAAACAGTTCATTAGAGGCGCTCAAGAAAACCAAATGAACATTACCTGCAGACTTACAAACCTCGGAACGCATCAATCAACGACGATAGATGCATTATTAGACAGCGGCTGTACCGGAAGTTGCATACATTCAAGATTTGTTGAGGAACAGGGATATAAAAGGCAAAGAATCCCTAGACCAATTCCAGTCTATAATGCTGACGGCACCCTTAACGGGACGGAAGCATCAAAGAATTTATGAAACTATTAGTGGAGATAGACGACCATGCCGAAAGACTTCAACTGGCGGTTACCAATCTTGGAACCGATCGAATGTTTCTAGGCCATGAATGGTTAAAAAAACATAATCCCACAATAGACTGGAACAAATCAAACCTAAAATTCAACAGATGTCCGAATGAATGCAACATGATGGTACGATTTATAGAACCGGAAGAAGATCTGAAAACCTATTGCCCAGAGGTCAATCTTATAGAGAGGGGTAGAATTCTACAAATTAACATTTTAAATGTCGAAGATACATCAATTCCAAATGTCATACATCAGATCCGCGCTCACGGCACCACATCATAACAATTAGCCAAAGCAGCAGGAAAAGATCAAAAGACAGGAGGATTTGAAGGGATAGTACCAAAACACCTTCACGACTCTAAAAATGTGTTTGATAAAAAAGGATTTGATACCCTCCCAGAGAGAAGACAATGGGATCATGCAATAGAGTTAACTCCTGGAGATCACACGATAGACTGCAAAGTCTATCCATTAGCAAAAGGAGAACAAAAACAGTTGGATGCCTTCCTAAAAGAGAATTTAGAATCAGGATGCATCTGACCAAGTAAATCTCTGATTGCTTCACCGTTCTTCTTCATTAAGAAAAAAAGATGGAAAATTCCAACCCGTCCAAGATTACCGGAAACTAAATGAAATCACCATCAAAAATCAATATCCGCTACCCCTGATTAATGAACTTGTAGACAAGCTCAGGGGAGCCAAATTCTTCACTAAACTAGATATCAGATGGGGATATAACAATATCTGGATCAAGGAAGGAGACAAACACAAAGTGGTGTTCAGAACAAACAGAGGACTATTTGAACCCTTAGTCATATTCTTTGGACTGACGAACTCACCCGCAATGTTCCAAACAATGATGAACTCCATCTTTAAAGACTTAATAGAAGAAGGAAAGGTAGTGATCTACTTAGATGACATTATGATCTTCACAAAAACAATCGAAGAACACCGAGCAATGATGCAACATGTTCTTCAGATCCTGAGAAAGAACCATTTGTACCTAAAACCAGAAAAATGTGATTTCAAAGAAACCGAAACAGAATATCTGGGATTGATCATCTCAGAAAACAAAATTTGCATGGATCCGGTGAAAGTCAAAGGAATCTTAGATTGGCCAGAATGCACAACCAAGAAGCAGGTGCAGGCCTTCTTAGGTTTTGTAAACTTTTACAGAAGGTTTATCAAAGGATTCAGAGCAATCACAAAACCACTTACCCAACTTACCGGTAAAGAAGAGTTCAAATGGGGAAACAAGCAAAAAGAAGCATTTAAAGAGATAAAGAAAAGAATTAGCTCAACCCCAGTATTAGTTCTACCGACCAATGATGGTCAATACCGAGTCAAAGTGGATAGCAGTGATTATGCTTTAGGAGCGGTGCTCTCCCAAGAGCAAGAAGGAGTCTGGAAACCAATAGCCTACTTGTCAAAATCTCTAAACGAGACAGAAAGAAACTATGAGATTTATGATAAGGAACTATTAGCAATCATGACAGCTCTAGAGGAATGGCGTCATTATTTAATGGATGCTGCAAAGGAATTTGAGATTTGGACAGATCACCAAAACCTCACGTACTTTAAACAACCTCAGAAGCTAAACAGAAGACAAGCTAGATGGGTCAGCGAACCAGCTAACTACCATTTCATGCTTCACCATAAACCAGGAGCTACCCACATCAAAGCGGACTTACTGTCCAGACGACCAGACAACGATAAGGGAGAGAATGATAATGAAAATGTTGTAGTTCTCAAAAATGATCTATTTAGAATTAATATGTCTCTAACGGGAAAATAAAGGCAAGAAATGGAAGGATCACAAAAAGAGACAATAGAGACATATAAATGGATCAGTAAGAGAATGAACAACGTAGATGAAGTGGTAAAAAAGATGGAAGGAAAGGTACGAGATCAAGAAGACGGTTGGTGGACAGAGGAGGGGTTAATATATTTCAAAGGATGAATGTATGTTCCGAAAGACCGGAAACTTTGAGAAAAGATCATCAGAGAAAATCATGATTCTATCATTGCTGGTCACCCAGGCCGGTACAAGATGAAGGAGTTGATTACCAGAACGTACTGGTGGCCTTATATGGATAAAGACATCCAAGAATATGTAATGGGATGCAAAACCTGCCAAAGAACCAAAATAGACCATCAGAAAAAGGCAGCACCACTACACCCAAATGAGATCCCAAGCCACCCCTGGCAAATCATTTCAACAGATCTCATCGGACCGTTACCTGAATCCAAGGGCCACAATATGATAATGGTAATTGTTGATCAATTTTCCAAAATGATTAAATTATTACCAACTCATGCTGAACTAAATTCCGAAGGAGTAGCGAGATTATTCCGAGACAACGTCTTCAGACATCACGGACTACCTGATAAAGTCATATCGGATTGGGGAGTCCAATTTGTCTCAATCTTCATGAAAGATCTCTATACATTACTCAGAATAAAAGGAAATCCATCCACTGCATATCAACCTCAAACAGATGGACAAACGGAGAGAATCAATCAAGAGGTTGAACAATGTTAGTTTTGGTGATTCTGCACCTTTGTGCTACCTATATATTTTCATTCCTTTCTCTATCTATTCTTCTATCATTCACTATTGATTGTGTTCTCTATTATTTCGCCTTTGTGGCTGCTTTGTTTACCTTTGTTTACAAAACTTCGGACAGTATTGCAGAGTCCAATGCTTCCTATTCTCTAGTTACTCACATTGGACTCTAGTTCCAGTCCCTGATTGCTCTCAGCAAGTGGCTAGACACTTCCTTCAAGCTTTGTTCTTAATAAACAATACCTCAGAATTTTTGTAAATCATAAACAAGATGATTGGGCAGAATGGTTACCGTTAGCGGAGTTTTCCTATAATAACAAAGAACATTCGGTGTCGATGTTGAGAACTGTTGTTAGAAAACCACACACAAAAACAAACTAACACACAATCCTCCCAGATTCCACGGAACTTGTTTATGGGCTTTGCCTCCTAGAACAGTGGGTGCTCTGGTTGTTCATGGGGTGGTATGTATAAGGATCCTTCAAAGTAAAACCCAGAGATGTATGGGTGTGGGTTTTGAGGAGGAGGGATAGTTGAATTTATAGAAGATAGGTGCTTAGTGACGAGTATAGATAAGCACTACCTTGCTAATCGTAGCACAAGGTAGGTTTGAGAACGACAATATGACGAGGTTCCCAGTGATAGCAGGCTCCTGACACACAAACTGTAGTGCTCAGAAGGACTCTAATCGAAAGGGATGACAATGACTTCAAAAGTGGGAAGTGACAATGACAGCAGTTGACAGTGGTAGAAGTGGGAAGTGTTGTGACCACACTGGATCACAAGTAGCAGAGTAGTGAACTTGAGAGTAGAGAAGAAGTCTGGATTGGAGTTCTTGTTCTTTTTACAAGGTAAAATACAGGGGTTTATATAGTAAAAGAAAAGTAGGCTATGCACAGTATAGCTGTGCAAAAAGAATGAGAAAGAATATGAAGGAAGGAATGTACGCTGACAAATCCTGCGTAGGTAGTACAGGATAAGATTGTCAAAAAAAGGAAAAGAAAGGGATAGAACAATAAATGCTGTGAGTAATGTCACAGGTTTGTACAGCCATAGAGTAAAGTCCAATAGCAAAAAGAGAGCAGGAAAATCATGATGTCATGGGAAGATGCAGTAAAAAAAGGGCAAGGCAAAACACTATCAGTATCAACACAGTTCCTTTATTGTCAGTCAGGCATTCTAAAAAAATATGTGTCCATAAAAATGATTCAAAAATCAAAAATAATCGCACTGTAAATGAATGTTCTGCTGAAGAAAAAGAAACTGGAGCCACCGGTCCACCACCTAGTCCAAATCCGACAGTTCCATGGCCTTACCAATGGACTGGTTGTGTTGGACCACCTGATCAAACGAGGGAGGGAGAGGAGTAGTTCCAACTTGGAACAAGTGAGTCCCAGGCAGCGTGTGATAGGTGTAGCTGTAGCGAAGACAATGGACAAAAGATAAGTGTACCCAAGTGAATGGGACAGCGATGAACATGGGTGACGCAAGGGGATGAACCTTCTCCAGCTCAAAAACTACCCACCCACGCTCCAACCAGGCAAGACGAGCGACCGATGTTTTGATAGTATATGATGGCAGATCGACGTCATGAAGATGGACCTGTTGCCCTATTTGGACCGGCCGCCGGGGCTTTGCTGATATCAGCAGTGGCATGTGGTAGTCAATGGATCGGCAACGGAAGCGGATAGGAAGTGGTGACATCAGAAATGGTGGGGGTGCAAATAAGATGAGGAGGAGGAGGGTGGAGGTGACGAAAAAGTGGATTAGAATGGGGATCCAGAAACGACCGTCAGGTGAGAATAAAAAGGAGAAGAAGGGGCCCATGGTGGGGCTAGGCAAAGGAAGGGGAGTAAGGGAAACAACAAAAGCGAGGGCGCAATGCAATGTGTAGCCAGTGGCGACGCGAAAATTTGCCGAAATGCCGAAATGCGGAAAGTACCGGATGGAAAAGCAAAGGTGAGCGTGACTGGATTGCCTAATAGAGGTGGTGCTGATCAGCCACAAGTTCAAAAAGGGCAATATTAATTACTATTCCACGTGGCACTGTGCCTGTGTGGCGCAAAGGCGAGTCTTTTTGAATATTCGCTTCATTATTGACACCTGTCCATGCTACCAATCAACTTTGGTGCATGACATCGGCTACTGGTCATAGCCCTTTTTATGGAAACTACAGACAACATCCAAAAGTAGCTGAAGGAGTCAAAAAGATGGTGAAGAATGAGAGTGCGGAAGAGTTCGTAGAAAGGATGAAGGAGGTGCGAGAGAATGCGGAGAAATCTCTGGCAAAGGCAGCCGAGATTATGAAAAAATCATACGATAAAAACAAAAAAGACAGTGTGGAATACCAACCCGGAAATAATGTTTACATCGAAGCAGAGCATATCAACACTGATCGACTGTCAAAGAAGCTCGACGACAAATGACACGGACCCTTCGTAGTCGAGAAAAAGACTGGACCAGCAGCCTATAAACTCAAACTGCCTGGAAAATGGAAAAATATCTACCCAGTCTTTAACGAAAAGCTTCTACACCCCTACAAAGAACCAACATATCCGGGACAAAGGAAACCAAAGCCACCACCACCTGCAGAAGTAGATGGACAAAGAGAATATGAAGTTGAACAAATACTTGACTCACGATTGAAACGTGGCAAGTTAGAATATCTGGTTCATTGGAAAGGCTACGGGAAAGAACGATCTCAATCTCCTGAATCCTTATCTGATGTAGAGACACTTATCATACTATATCTAATCAGCATGTAGTATTTATCTTATCTCATCACGTGACATTAGGTCACCTGATTACTCATCACACATGTGTTATCCTCATGTTTCTCAGTCAGCGCCTCAAGGCTGACATGCCTCATTACATATATAAGTGGTCAATCTTCATTGTACATACCTTAGCTTTTGATTTCCTCTCTATAAACAAATTCAACTACCTGCTGAGATTCGACGCCTTCACTCCGTTAGTTCGGCATAAGTGAAGACGTTATACCTAGTCATGCTCAGCTTGGGGTTTAAAATATTTTTCAATCTTATCTTTGAAGTCATCCCAGGAGGGCCACATGTTCGTGGAGTAGCACTCCTGAAGTCTAACTTGGGTGTATTGACCCACCATAGCTCCTTAGAGCCTTGACAGTACGGCAGTTCAGAGCTCAAAGTCATTTTCAAAGGCCACATAATTGGCCTTCACCCAAATCTGGAGCTTAATCCACCATTCAGCAAATTTTGCTCAGCCTACGTCAAAATACTGGGGTTGGCAATGATCTCAGCCTTTGTGTTGTACACTATTTCTGCTCCATGGTTTCAGGGGGGTGTGCCTGAAGCTCTGTGAGTTGCATGGTCAGCGCAACTATTTGCCTCCGCATTTGCTGCAGGAGGGCAGCATTTGGGTCATCAGATGATGACATGCAGACTTGTTCTCTTTGTAAAGTAAAAACAAATGTAACTGGGGGTCCCCCACCTGCTATCTGCAGATCTACCCCATCGTCCGCTACAAAACTTCTTATTACTCCTTCTATCTCCCTGTCGCACTCGCCATGCACATGTGCCACGTTCCTGCCTCTTACACCCACTCTGGCAAGGTCGTCTCTCCCTACAAGCTAGCGCTCGATATCCTCCTCCCTCTCGGTGAATACTTCCAAATCCAAGATGATTTCCTCGATTACTCTGGCACGCCTGAGCAGATTGGGAAAGTCGGGACTGATATCATCGATAATAAATGCTCATGGTGTATCAACGTTGCTCTCTCGGTGGCGACTCCTGAGCAACGCAAGGTGCTTGATGAGAACTACGGGCAAAAGGACTCACAGAAGGAGGCACGCGTGAAAGCGTTGTACGAGGAGATTAACTTGCGTGAACGGTATCGCAAGTACGAGGAGGATGCGTACCAGCGAGTTACGAGTTTAATCGACACTATCCCAGAGGATGAGCAGGCCGGTGCGCCTGAAGGAACGGTGGTAAAGAGAGAGGTGTTCAGGAGCTTCCTGAACAAAATCTATAAAAGAACGAAGTAAACATATAGAGATTAGAAGATAACTGCTATGTTGAGTGCGTTGTATATGTTTTGTATCTCTTAATGACAAATACTATCCGTGTTGCAGTTTTAGTAATTTCAGATGCACTTCGGAGTCGTCGTGCGGAGTCTACAAGTGTGTTATACTTTAATGAAAGTAAGAAATAGGAAACGATGACTATTTTACTTCATTCAGCAGTTCTGCAAGCTTCAGAGCTTCCTGATCTCCCATCCCGCATTTCTCTCTTAACTCTTGAATAATGGGACCGTTTTCCTTTGTGACTTGTCTGGTCTTCTTTCCACATTGTCCATCGATGGTATGGACAACGTACGTAAACCACTCAAGCCTCTCCACATTCCAAGATGGCCTCCTGTAATAATCCCGTATCACATCGCGCATCTTTTGCTGGGAAACGTTGTAGACATCGGCATATCCGTTTCTCCTCCCTGTCGTTGATACAATGCAAGCATGCGCTTGTGGGTGCATCCCGTAACCCCTAAACGCGCTTTCGTTGTTCCTCCACCATTCCTCTAACTTATTACTGATCTGCCCATCGCTCATTTCATTCGCCGTAATCTCATTCTCTAGCGCAGTGATAGCGACGACGATAGGAACCTGCCCTCGACAAAACACTTCGTGGAAGAGTCTCCAGTTCTTCTGCGATGCTTCCTTGAGCCGCCCACGCATGCAGAAAATCAAGAGGCTGACGCCGCCCTGGGTGGACAAGGCTTGGACAAGCTGGTATAACTGCACTATGGCAGCTTGCTTTGCCACCTTTCCTTCCTCTCCCTCGTCCAGTCCTGCAGTATCATAAAGCATGAAGTCGCGGCCATGGATGTTTGCCTTGAACGCAGTGTATTGGAACGTACAACCGCTGGCTCCGCCGGAGATCATTGCGATTGAGTCACCTGCAATTAGGTTTATGATTGAACTTTTGCCAGCGCCTGTCTCTCCGAACAAGATCACGTTGGGCGGGTGCATATCTATCGAGTAGATGGTCTCTGTGAAAATAGTTGACTTTTCTCATCAGTGTTTATGTCGAATAATGGGAGCAGGACGTTAAACTTCACCTTAAAAGGTATGAAAATATGGTTACGATGTGAGATGTTCACAGTGGACGGCTAAGAGATTTAGCAGGAGTTTTCAACCCCCAAGCTCATATAAAAGTTATTCAGTCGTTACTTCAATTTGAATACAGGGCATCAACGTGTTGTTCCTTTGCCAATTCGAGCGAGATACCAGAGCATACAACCCTTAACCCTCCCACACTTTTCCCATCCAACAAAACATGTTCCTCATTCCAGATAACACGAAGCTGCCCTATTTGTCTGCGCCCATATATCAGCTATCAAGGCGTCTGTGATAGGAAGGCACTAACTTGCGAAAGCCTATTGGTAAGTGTTATCCCATCACATATTTCTAGCGCCCCAAGCTGCTTCCTACATATCGATCAAGGGTCCACGAGGCCCAGTGCAATTCCAGCTGACTAGGAGTGCAGAGCGCTTTGAAAACAATAACCTATATAAAGCAAGATGAGCGTCTCTTATTGTTGTTTGGACAAATTGATATTCTCACCTGTCCTCAGGGGGGCAAGACCGGACTCGCGATTGATGCCTTTAAGCACCATTGTATGCAATCAGATAAGGGGAGTCAGCGCTAATATCAACAAGCGCCAGGATGAAAGGAACGGCGGTGATTACGAGAGAGAGAAAAGTCTTTCAGAGGCATTTGATAGGGTTAAGATAAGAGAGGAAGTTTCATCTCTTCATGTCTGGGGGATCTCCTGAACTCCATCAACTGCGCTTCATAGAAACACACACCAAGGGAAAGCTCACAAGAAACATCACATGAACTTCTCGTATTCCCATTCCGCAGTTTGTTCGCTGATCAGACAGAATGGGTAACCAACGTGTAGGGTGGTTCGTTCTTCCGGCTACATGGCGCTATCAGTCCTTAGTTCTGACTCGAAATGGTGGGATACATACCCCACGAGTTTGTCGTGTTGAGCTGTGGACAAGCCCAGAAGGATGTTAAGGGCCAACTGTGTTCCTTCATTACAATTTCCCTGCTTCCATCATGACCACGGGATAGTCTTCCGACAATAAATATTCGGCATCAAGCGTCTTATATGTTACCCCTCCGCCCAGTCAAAAGTTACCAATCTGGACACCTCTAAAGTCATAAAACGCCTTTGAACCCATTCAAATATTTACGCACCTGTCGATATCGGTCAAGTTTATCGCATAGAATGATGTCTAGGATTTCGGTGAGCTATCGTGTCAAATAGATAGCAATAGTCGAGAGAACTCACCAGTAACGTAAGAATTTAACTAACAGCTACATACGACCATCCAGCTCACAAAAAGAAGAGAGAGTAGTCAGTCAAGGAGAAATCGCTCGGGGAGGAAGCTCTTATGAGAGAGTCACTCAAGAAAGAGTCCCTCGTAAAGACGCTCAAGTGGTCCCCCAAAGAGACGCTCTACAAGGAGGAGCCGCCCACAAAGACGCAGCTCATGGAGCTCCTCACAGAGATGCGGCTCAAAAAGGAGTCATTTACAGAGATCCCAATCAAGGAGTTAGTCACAAGGATGTCACTCGTGGAGAGAGTACACCCGGTACAAGCACTCATACAACCCCCAACCGTGCTATCCATCCAGATAAACCATTTTCTGAAGGGGAACATGGTTCAGGTGAGTGTAAAACTTGTCGTGAGATAAATACAACGAATCTCACTTTCTTTTAATAATGATACAGTAACCTCACCCTTTCCCCTCCAGCATTCTCTACAAAGCTCTCCCGCCATCGCCAACGTGCTCATCTTCGGTGAATCGGGAACAGGAAAGAGCTCGATCTTGAACATGATCGCCGGATCGGACATCGCTGTCACATCTAACAGCGCACTGGGCTGTACCTTCGAGAGCGTTGGATACACTGTCAACATCAATGGCTCCCCATACAGGCTCTGGGACACTGCCGGGTTGAATGAAGGAGAACAGGGTAGCGTCCCTGCAGAACAAGCAATTAGAAATCTACAAGACCTCGTGCAGAACATGAAAGAAGGCGTGTCTCTACTTGTGTATTGCGTTTCTGGAGGCCGTTTCAAAACCATCTTGAAGATCAACTATGACCTGTTCTATGCCATCATCTGCCAGGCAAAAGTTCCAATCGTGGTCGTGGTGACTGGACTGGAAAATGAGGACCCTATGGAGTCGTGGTGGGTAGAGAACGGGGCTGAGTTCAACAGGCGACAGATGGAGTTTGCTGGTCACGCCTGTGTGACTATAACTAGGGGAAGAGCGATGAGAGATGGAGGATACATATTCGACAAGGAATTCGAGGAATCCAAGATAGCCATGCGAGAACTGATTCAACGTTGTTGCTCCCCTACAGCATGGAAAGTCGACGGGCGACTCTGGTTGGGAGAGATAACCAATCAGCTGGCGACCTACAATGAAGTGAGGGAGAAAGGAACTGCTGTGTCTAGGACGAAGGAGTCACCTAATACCACTGCTGTATACGGTTTTTTGAAAACCGTCTTGAACGTGTTGGGATGGCTAACAGCACCAACACGAGCTGAAGAAAGCAGACAAACGCGTTAGTATACGCACTTGTATGGCAGGCCTGTAAAAAAAACTGGCTTAATTTAGCAATGTAGATAGATGCGCAGATGATGATAGGAAACATGCACGATTGCCTTGACGTAGTGCCACAGATTACGACGAGATGATCCAAGTAACAAAACTTTTTTTGCTACTGAGGAAACGGGGGCGTTTCATTCAGGAGCACCATATGGTCAACTATGCATAACATGTTTTTCTATTTTCTTGAGCCGTATAAACATAAGGAAAACTGGCGTCGAATGGCCTGGAGCTCTGAACCGAAAATTAAATCCATAAGAAAACTGACGAATACCTGTGTTTATCGTGTCACTTCTACATTTATTAACTTTAACTCTACAATGTCATGTCGCCTCATCATGGTTAGTCCCAATCTGTAGAAATTGTGCATGATTGAGTCAAAACTTGCTTAGTGATGAGATCTGACATACCTACCAGAATAAACGAGCTGCTAGACCACGCATGTCAAGTATTCTTCCTCACAAACGAGCTGATATCAGTGGCTCCAATACATCCTCACGGTTCGCGTTCCCGTAGTACGTCGGTAGTAAGCCCACGTA